TGGCAGAGGGAAATGTATGGAGCTTAAAGGGTCAGAACCTCTGCTGGTGTGAATCACCATCGCTCCATTAACTGCAAGGAAGTTCCAGTAGGGCACAGCATGAGAGAGCCTGAGAACCCCTGGGCCACGGGTTGTGATTCTGTCCCCAGCTAACATGCAGGAACAGCCACCGCAGACGCTCAGCAACTGCATTCAATTGCACCTCCTGCAGGCAGGTGCCTTCAGAAATCTCCCTCTAGACAGAGCTATGGCCACAAAGCATAAATAATCAAACACCGATCAAGAGGCTGGAGCTAATGCTAATACCGCAACATTGGGGCTGCTAGTCCTAGACACACTTTACTTTATGAAAACACAGTATAAACTGGTCTAGTACAATATTTGGAACCTTTCTGTGGTTCGGTGGAGAGCTCCTTCATCTATTGTAACCTAATATGCCCCAAATTCTTTTAATAGCTGTTACTCTTTAGCCAAAGGACCAAATTCTGTTCTCAGTTACACCCATGCAACCCCAATTAACTTAATGAAGAAGACAAGGAAGACTTGGGGCATGGATACAATTAATTTAGGCCCCAATTCAACAGTGCATTTAAGCATGTGCTTAAGTCTAATTGAAATCAGTGGGACTTAAACAGAAGCTTAAATGTGTTGCTGAATTGGGCCTTAATGCAGCAGAACAGGGTTGGGAATACTCATTTTCTTCTTCATTCTGTTTTGGTTGAACAAGTCAAACATAATTCACATTTGCATTCCCAGCATCTAAACCCTGCTAAGCCCTGGGAATGCACAATGCAGTCCGAACTGTTTTATCTCTGCAAATTTCAATTATCCCCAATAAAGCCTTATTATATCTATGAGGCTGCAGTCACTCCTTCTAGTGGTCAGATGACAATTCCAGTGTTTTGGCTTTTAAAGCCGTGTGGTGGATAAAGTTTCTGGCTTGGGACTGAAAACTCCAGGTTCAAATTAGGATGGGGGTTCATTTTCATGGAAACCGTCCTGTGTTAATATTATTTTGTCCTCCATGTGCTGTGGATAAATAAATACTTGCCACTCAGTTATTTTTCTAAACAAAACAGGCGTATCTGATCAAAAATATTTAATATGGATAGAAAGCCAAGCCTGAAAAAGGAAAGGCCAGCATACTTCGGAGTTCCTTTTGTAGTAGGAAGAGAGCATGAGACATAAGTCTTTGTATCAGAGGCCTGGTATGAGGCAGGACTTGCTCGCAGAATCTGGCAAGAACAGGGCTGATATTGCAGAAATACACATTCCTAAAAAGTGCTAGTCACAGAACAGTCACGCAAACACATCCTGATATCAAGTGATACCAGAACATCCCAGTATCAAGGATAGTACGAAAACATTCCCCAAGGATAACAGGAACACACTGACCCCTCCTAAAAGATAAGGTCAGGATAATAGTATGTAATATAAAAGGAGGACTTGTGGCACCTTAGAGACTAACCAATTTATTTGAGCATAAGCTTTCGTGAGCTACGGCTCACTTCATCGGATGCATACTGTGGAAACTGCAGAAGACATTATATACACAGAGACCATGAAACAATACCTCCTCCCACCCCACTCTCCTGCTGGTAATAGCTTATCTAAAGTGATCACCTCTCCTAAAAAGAAAAGTTATTGCATGGCTTGTGAGCCGAGCTGTGTCCAGCTCATGCCAAAAAATGGTTAGTCTCTAAGGTGCCACAAGTACTTTTTTTTTTTTTAAAAACGGCTGTTCCTCTGAAACCTCTCCTTACAATGTGTATGATAATCAAGTTGGGCCATTTCCAGCACTAATCCAGGTTTTCTCACCCTCCGCCCCCCCCACACACACAAACTCACTCTCCTGCTGGTAATAGCCCATCCAAAGTGACCACTCTCTTTACAATAAGAAAAGGAGTACTTGTGGCACCTTAGAGACTAACCAATTTATTTGAGCATGAGCTTTCGTGAGCTACAGCTCACTTCAGCTCACGAAAGCTCATGCTCAAATAAATTGGTTAGTCTCTAAGGTGCCACAAGTCCTCCTTTTCTTTTTGCGAATACAGACTAACACGGCTGTTACTCTGAAACCTCTCCTTACAATATGTATGATAATCAAGGTGGGCCATTTCCAGAATAAGGGGGGGGGTGAGAAAACCTGGATTTGTGCTGGAAATGGCCCACCTTGATTATCATGCACATTGTAGGGAGAGTGATCACTTTGGATAAGCTATTACCAGCAGGAGAGTGAGTTTGTGTGTGTGTGTTTTGGGGGGGGGGGTGAGAAAACCTGGATTTGTGCTGGAAATGGCCCAACTTGATTATCATATGCATTGTAAGGAGAGTGATCACTTTAGATAAGCTATTACCAGCAGGAGAGTGGGGTGGGAGGAGGTATTGTTTCATGGTCTCTGTGTATATAATGTCTTCTGCAGTTTCCACAGTATGCATCCGATGAAGTGAGCTGTAGCTCACGAAAGCTCATGCTCAAATAAATTGGTTAGTCTCTAAGGTGCCACAAGTACTCCTTTTCTTTTTGCAAATACAGACTAACATGGCTGTTACTCTGAAACCTGTCAGTATGTAATAGAGATGTTTTGATTGAACCAACATGTACAAGGTGATAACTGGCCAGGGGGCAGTGGGGGCAGTGACTAACTATGTCAGAGGCAGTAAGTAACTTGTTTGTATCAAGATATAAAGATGTAACTCAGAGGTCGTATCTTTGCCCAGCCGAGGGAGGAATGGAAAGTCCCGTCATTCACTGAGCTGGTCCATTGTCATGGGCATGCATGTCTTAGTATCCTTGTAGAGTCTACTGGGTGCTATTACCATGCTTTGTCAACAATAAACCTGGCTGGCGCCTTCGTACCTTAACGGATCTTGTGGTCATTGGGCGGTTCACTCGAGGTCTGCTGTGCTGTCTGTCTGCACAGAGCTGGGGCAGCACACAGGGAGAACACATACACACAGCCGAACATCTAACCACACTTTCACTGCAATGGCTAAGCTGGAAGGCAGTTTTTCTGAGTAAGTAGCCACTTAATCTAATACCAGCTAACCCAAAAAAAATACATCCTTCAGCAAAATGCTGGTCCTCCATAATTGATCTGGATCTATGAAGCCAGAGCAAGGGTAGTGGTATGGCCTAGAGCAGGGGTTGGCAAACATTTTGGCCTGAGGGCCACATCAGGTTTCTAAAATTGTATGGAGGCCGGGTAGGGAAGGCTGTGCCTCCCCAAACAGTCAGGCATGGCCCAGCCCCTGCCCCCATCCAACCCCCCCACTTCTCGCCCCCTGACGGCCCCCCCCGGGACTCCTGCCCCATCCAACGCCCCCTGTTCCCTGATGGCCCCCTGCCCCATCCACCCCCCTGCTCTCAGTCCCCTGACCGGCCCCAGACCCTTCACCTGTAACTGCCCCCCGCCGCCCCATCCAACCCTCCCTCCTTCCTGACTGCCCCCACCCAGGACCCCTGCCCCATCCAACCACCCCTTCTCCCTGACCGCCCCTGGACCCCTTGCCCCTAATTGCCCCCACCCCATTCAACCCCCCCCACCTGACTGCCCCCCCGGGACCCTTGCCCCATCCATCCCCCCTGCTCCCTGTCCCCTGACTACCCTCTGCCACCCCATCCAACTCCTCCTCTCTTTCCTGACTGCCCTCCCCAGGACCTCTGCCCCAGTCAACCCCCATTCCCTGCCTTCTGACCACCCTGACCCCTATCCACACCCCTGTCCACCCCCCAAACTCCCCTGCCCTCTATCCAACCCCCCTCCCCACCCCGCTCCCTGCTCCCTTACCACGCTGCCTGGGGCACCGGTGGCTGGCAGTGTGGCTGCACCAGGACAGGCAGCCGCGCAGCACAGCACAAAGCACTGGGCATTGCGCCACGCGGCGGCGTGGCTGTGGGAGTGGGGGGACAGCGTCCCGGGCCAGGAGCTCAGGGGCCGGGCAGGACGGTCCCGCAGCCCAGATGTGGCCTGCGGGTTGTAGTTTGCCCACCTCTGGCCTAGAGCATAGGGCACCAGACTAGGAGTCAGGAGACCTGCATTTTATTCCTGGCTCCGCTACTGACCTGCTGTGTGTCCTTGAGCAAGTCACTTTCCCTCGCTGTGTCTGCATTTGTCATTTAGCGTGCCAGTGCTTCAGGATAGGGACTGGGGGTGAGATTTTTAGAGGCGTGTAGGCACGTAAAGAACCAGATGGCTGCCTTGTAGGACTTTCAAAAGTGCATAGATGACTAACTCCCACAGGCAGCTATGCACCTCAATGCTTTTGAAAATCCCAGTCAGTGCCTGTGTGCATCTGTTGGCACCAAGATGGCTTTAAAAATCTGGACCTGTCTTTTATGTGTGTACAGCACCTGGCACAAAGGTGCCCCAGTCTAGGGTTTCTGCGTGTAACTGGAACACAGACAATCATAGTAATCTCTTGCACTAAAGTGCACGGTGGAGCTGACTCTACCAGCAGGCAGAATGAGAGAGGATCTGTGTCTGCAGATAGTGTTTGTGTGGGGGGGAAAGGGGGGCAGAATGAGGGCAGCCAGCTTCAGTAGTGTTATTGAACATGCTCAGTTCATGTGAGCATGCTCACTACAAGCCAAGCTGCAAATCGGGGAGGGGCCCCCACAGGACCCCCCCACATGACCCCCTCCCCCCGCCCCCCAACGTGTTGCCTCTGAGAGCTGAGGTCTCATAGACTCATAGATAGTAAGGTCAGAAGGGACCATTATGATCATCTAGTCTGGCCTCCGGTGTGCAGGATGGAGAAATAATGCAAGGCTGGGGACTGAAGGCCCAATCAGGCACTCGCAGGGACATCTATAAATGCAACTGCAGAGGCATTAGAGGGGCATCCCGCACTTCACTGCTAGAAGGCCACATTGTAGCTTGGATGTTTTTCATTGCATTTTATATATTTATGAAAAACACTTTTGTTATAACCCATGCATGCAAAGACCCTGATCCCCTTCTCATGCCACCATTGACTGCAGGTACTCTTGACTTGTACTGGTGTAAGCAAGATCTGCCGCTCAAGAATGTGCCCGCCTCGTGAAGATGATCCACCAGCTTTATTGCCAGAACAAAGAACTGAACACATATTGCATTTAACACGTCAAACAAATCTAACTGCTTTCCTAATGCCAATCATCATCGGGAACAATTGCTGGGTGTTACATGATTGCATATGGGAAGAGAGTTCATCCACGCAACTCCAAAGGGGAGAGGAGGTGGTTGATGCAAAATTGGTGGGGCTAAGGGAAAAGTGTTGTCCAGGACTGTGATTAGAAGGGGAGGTGTTCAGGAGACTGTGTGCTGTCAGCACTGCTTTATGGTTCAGGGATTCGGAATACATATTCTAGGCACATCACGAGATTGAACATGACGCAGTGATTTCCCTACACGTCCTCTGGGGGGCTGGGGGTGGTGTACACCCCTCCTGAATTTCCCCAACACCCGCCCCTCCCCCCAGTTTTGTGAACTAGTTACATGCAGTGTTGCCAATTTAGTGATTGTTTGGAAATTTGAATTGAAATTGAAACATTAATACACACTTTAAAAGCATATACAGTGTGGGATAAAATACGTGTATCTGAAAGAGTATAATAGATTTGAAAAGTATGAACATAGACTAGCTTCCTTGTACCACTGTTTATGACAATGTCAGTGCATTCATGTCGGTGATGTTGGCCAACCTAATAATTTCAAATTATGATTTGTAAGCAAAGTCTAAATGAGCTCTCCCTGACAGCTAGTGATGAGCTGGGGACTGGGGGGGAAAGGCTTCAGGACCAGATTGTATTTACATTCACACCTAATCTACCTAGGTATCCAGCAAACAGAGCTGTGTTGCCCAAGTGATAGATTTTGGCTGGGGTTGGGTTACAAATCACTTGAATGCACAGGGAGGGGGGAGGTTATTAAATGTTATTTTTATTGTATGGGTAAAGGGCAGTAGAACTGTACTTAGCCTGTGCTGATTGAGGGCATCCAGAGAGAGAGGGTGGGGACAGGTGTTTTGCTTGATGGTCTGCCTGAGTCACAAGTACTGTTTGATCTGCCCCTCTCCACTGTTTAAAGACAGAGCTGATTAGGATCCATAGATAGTCTTTGTTCTGTTAAGTGACCACTACAGCTGAAATCACTGATCATGACCTGCTGTGGGACAGTGTTTCTGTGGAAGAGACGGCCCAGTCTGCGCTAGCAGCAAGGTTCCTCACTGAGAGCTCAGCTGAAATCACTGAGAGCTGCTGGAACCTGAAGAGACCAACTCGCAGAGGTCACAGTGGCAGGTGGCAGCAGAAGGTGGCAGCGCAGGGCCATTGGCAACAGAGCGATGGAGTGAATGGTGGCACAACGAACAACAGTGGCCAGAGCAAACAGTGAACAGCTGGAGGAACGAGCAAGGTGCTTTCTTGCCCCCCACCTGGGAGATGAACTCATGCGAAAGCACCTCTGAACTCTGAGTCTCCACTGACCAAGGACAACACCGGTGAGTGTTAATGAGGCTGTTAAGAATGTTGGAGACACAACACAGTTCATGCGAACAAACATGGCCGTGGCATCGTACTTTCTATTTAAGCAAGAGATACCACACACTGCAAACTGGAGGCCAATGTTAAGTGCATTGTCACTTGTTCATCCTGAAGTTGAACACTGGTTCCGAACAAGACCAGCAAATGCTCACTATCTTTCTGCAAGAAACTCAACTGACTGGCTAGACACATGTGGTGCAACAGTGAAAGACTCAACAGTTGAAAAAGTGAAGAACTCTCCCACCAAATTAAAAAAATGTGCGTACATGACTGATGAATGCACCAATGCAAATGGGCATCAAGTATTAAGTCATTGTGTATGTTATCTTGATGTCAGTGGTAGGCCAGTAGATGCATTTCTAGATGTTCAAGTTATAGAAGACAGAATGGCTGCATCTGTGACAACCCACATCTTAGAAGAGTTAAATGCATGTCAATGGGACCCCAAACAGAGGGCTGCTTGTGTATTTGATGGAGCTGCAAACTTCTCTGGAAGACATGGTGGAGCACAAGCTTTGCTCAGCAAAAAGTGTAACACTAATCTCTCCTATACACACTGCAGAGGCCATCTACTCCAACTAGCGCTGGTATGAGCTGCAGACTCTTCAAAAGACATTTAAAAAGCTATACATTTAATGTCTTCATTATATTTTTTTCAGCAAGAGTCCAAAAAGACTGAATATCTTGGAAAATACAAAAGATACACTGGGACTGAAGTTCAAATTAGTCCAGTCTGGGAAAACCCTCTGACTTTCTCATGAGTGATCCTTGGCTGTTGTCTTAAAATTACTCCAACCATTATTACTGGCTTTGGAAAGTATCTACCAAGATAGGATGGATCTAAGTAGTGAGGCTGGTGGATTACTTTTGTTACTACGTTCAGAGAAGACTATTGCCATTCTCTCTCTTGTAAGTCTACTGTTGAAACCACTGGGGTCATTAAACAATGCCATCCAGGCATCTGCTACAACAGTAGTAGATCTTTCTCCAGAAGCTACATTTGGATCAATCAAAGAGCTATCCATTGAAAAAGTACTGGAAGAAGCAAAGACTTCAGTCCAGAAGTTGACTAATGACTAATATTATATTTATAAATAAATTTGTTAGTCTCTAAGGTGCCACAAGTACTCCTTTTCTTTTTGGCATTTATATTGAATCCTTAAGTGAAGGGGACAAGAAGTGTTTGTTAAGACAACTGAAAAAGTACACAGACTTGATTCTTAAAAATCTACAACAGCGACTTCTAGATTCTATTCAGCCTCTACGTAGCTTTTAAAGATCCCTGTCTTATAAAACACTGACAGACTCACGATCTGACACCTCATCAGCCCTGACCCCGCACCGCCCCATCCCCGTAAATTCGAACCCTCCCCCCCCCAATTTCAATTCCTGGGGAAAACACTGAGCATGAGATGCCTGCATAAGATTCTGAAAATGAAGTGGGAAGACAAAATACCAAACAGAGGTGCTGAAGCACGCAGGACTGACATACTTAGAAACCACTATCAAGAAGAGGAGATTGCAATGGCTCGGTCATGACAGGAGAATGGGAGGACAGGAGACCATATCCCCAAGAATATTTTGTACAGCGAGATTTGGCATGTCTCTAAAAAGCAGGATACCACGACATGTGCAGAAATGATTTGAAGTCGTTCAACTTCAATGTAGACAGCTGGGAGGAGCGTGCAGAAGCCCGTCCAATCTGGAGGGAACATCTGGCACTGATTGCAGCAGAACATGAAGTGGCTTTGAGCCAGAGGATGGAAGCAGAGCGAGAAAGAAGAAAGCAGTGTGCTGTAATCTTGGACTCCAACTCAGACAACACCTGGAGCTGTGAAATTTGTACCAAGCTGTGTTCCTGTCGAATTGGGTTTGTCAGCCATAAGCAGATTCATCAGACACCTAATTAGACCTCTTACCAGTTTGGCAGGGATGGTTGCCAATGATGTTCAGGAGACAATCTCTTGAATAAGAGGGGGCCCATGCAAAGGAAAAGTTTGAAATTCCTAGTGACAATAAAGTTTGTTGGATTCCAGCAGCTGGGGAGATGCTCACCGGGACTCTGCTCTCAAATGCAACTTCCAGTTGGGCAGTGTTGCCTAATGGATAGAGCACTGGACTGGGCCTCAAAAGACTTGGGTTTGCTTCCCAGTTGGGTGATCTTGGGCCAGTCACTAGCCATCTCTCCCGGCCTCAGTTTCCCTAGCTGTAAATTTATGCTGATCTCATTTGCAAAGTGCTTTGGAATCTATGGATGATGCGAGCTAGGGCTGACTATTATTTGCTTTCACTTGTTCAGAAATGCAATATCATTTCATCCTCACTTTCTTCTGCTGGCACCCACAGCATTTCAAAGGTTCTTTGGAACCTGCAGTGGGATCACGTGACCTTTTTAGCATACGAGAGACATGGGTCTGAGCAACAGTTACTTGCTAACATCAAAAGGTTCCTCTATCATGTCATGCTTTCTCCCAGAATGAAGTATTAATCAGCCTAGTTAACATTCCCCACCCCTAGGGCACTTCTGCATTCCCTTACTTAATTGTTAGTGTTCAAATCTTGCCAATTATCACAAATTCTAACCTTCTCTTGCTATTTGCTTACATCCAATATGACTTACAAGCCATCGCTGTCATGTTCCTGTTTTCATGGGCTGTCTTACAACAAAGAGTTCATTCATCAAAGCTGCCTCAGTTTCTGGGGCTCTTTGGAGGAAATCAAACAGGTCCAAGAAACCAGAAAGCTAATCCATGTAAACAAAGTTGTTTTATTACCTATGTTCAGTTGGGAGTGAGATGCTGAACTCTTTCTTACCCTCCTTGACAAGCCTAGCCTTCTTCTACAATGTAATAGACAATACTGAACACAAGGGTTAGTTGTCAGTTGTCCTAGCTCCAATAAGGAGTTTATTTCAGCTGAGGATCTACCTCCTAAGATGTCCATGGACCTTAATACTCTACCTGGATGAAGGTCATCATGACATTTGGGACAAGCTTAGGTTCCAGCTTAGCAAAGATCTTAAGCACATGTATAACTTTAAGCACATGGGTGGTCCCAACGGCTTCAACTTTTGGCTGTCTGTTATAAGGAGGCATTAACGGAATACACCTTAGTAGCATTCAAAGAGGAATTCAGCAGAGAGCCCCAGCTATCATGCATCACCCCCAAAAGCAGTTACACCTGTGTGAACAAGCCAGGCTACCCTGGCATGTCTGTCATGATTATACAGGTGAGGGTGATGGAGCTAATTAATTGACGGGCAAGACAAATCAATACAGATTAGTCAGATAGAAGCTATATTGGGTCCAATTTATCTTAGCATATGCCCCTAAGGATGAAAATTCAAATGGGATCTCCCCTTGCCCCCATCCAGTGTCCAGAGGTGACTCACTCTGAACTCTGGATTGGGAAGCGCTGCTTAACCTGGAAGTGCTCACACCTCTTGTGTTTCATTACCAGGCCATACAGAGGGGTCATGTCCACCTTCTGTCCATCAGAGACGCTGAATTCCAGCTGCTGCAGCAGGGTGGTCAGGAAGAGGAAGACCTCCCATCTGGCAATGGTCTCACCAAGGCACCTCCTCTTCCCCAGGCCAAAGACCAGTATCTTCTCCCCATCGGTCTTGTTTACTTCAGTCCCTCCGGCACAGAGAAAACGCTCTGGGTCAAACGTAGATGGTTCTTTCCAAAGCTTCCTAGAATAGCAAGAGCAAAGCTCCTGAAACTTCCGTTCTGCTGATGCCTTGAGAAGGAATGCTGGAGAGCAGGGAATTCAGCTTGGATGGGTGTCAGGAACAGCTTCAGAACCGGGCCTAGGACACATTGACATCCACGCACCTTTGTCACTCAAGAATGCCTTTTCCATTTAAAATAACCTTCAGAAGGCATTGGGCCAAGTTAACATCTGTTGTAAGGCCTTGATGTTACTGGTTGGCTTTTGCACTGAAGCCTGAGGGGTTAGATCCCTTATAAACATGTTTTTAATCCTCTCTGAAGTTACAGTTAATGTTCTCATTATCCACTAATGTCTAATCCTTTTCTGAATCCTGCTAAGCCCTTAACCTCAGTAGTATCTTGTAGCAATGCACTCCACAGGTCAGTTGTGTATTTCACAGATTATAAGGCCAGAAGGAACCGTTGTGGTCATCTAGTCTGATGTCCTTTACAACAAAGGCCCTAGAACTCCCCTGAGTTCATTCTGGTTTGAACTAAAGTATATCTTACAGACAAACATCCCATCTTGATTTATAAATTGCCAGTGATGGAGAATCCACCACAACCCTTGGAAAATTGTTCAAATGATTAATTACCCTGACCGTTCAAGTTTGCACCTGACTTCTAGTTTGAATGCATCTAGTTTCAGCTTCCAGCCATTGGATCTTGTACTTTTGTCTGATAGATTGGAGAACCCTCTATTATTACATTTCTGCTCCCCAGGTAGGTACTTACAGGCTGTGATCAAGTCCTCTGATCAGTTTTAAATTTGCTGCTTTCTGATGCTATTGAATATCCCCTTCCTCCTTTATTATGAGAGGGTAAATACAAGCACTCTGTACCAAACATTATTTTGTACACTCTACCACGTCCCCTTCCTATTCAGCTGCCCTCTCAACTAAATAGACCCAGTTTTTTCAGTCTCTCTCCATATGCAAATTTTTCTAGACCTCTAACCTTTTCCATTAGCTGTTTCTGGACCCTTTCCATCCCTGCTCTGTCCTTTTGGAGATGGGGTGACCAGACCTGGACACAGTATTCCCAGGGAGAGGGTGTCATTGATGTACAGAAGAGCAGTATAATCATCCCAACTTTTCTACATGGGGAAACTGACTGGAATAATTGTCATTAGTTATACCAAAATAGCTATAGGCCAATAGTTATTCCATTATGCCGGTAAATTTCCATATGTAGACAAAGCTCTCGGTGTTTTTCCCGACCCCATTCCCTGTGCACCCTGACATTCTGGTTGCCTTTTTCACCTCCGCTGCACACGGAGCAGAGATTTCCACTGAGCTGTCTGCAGTGACTCCCAGGTCTTTTTCCTGTCTCACAAGAGATTTCTCCCTGATCCTTTCATCAGCAAGGGCTAAGGTGCAAGTCAGGCCTACAGACCCAGCAGATTCAGGGGGAAGCTTGATGGGAACCAGGGCTATCTGTGTGGAGTCTGTGGCCTCAGCAGCCCACCCAGTGCTCCTTGACAGCCCAGTTCCAATGCCCCACCCACTCACCCCTCCCCTGCCTGGCCATCTCTGTGTCTTCCCACAGCAGAAATTCCCAGTCCTGTGGAGAATGGGGAAAGCACAGAAATCCAGCCAGGGCCACCTCATCTAGGTTTGGTTTTTTTGATACAATGGGGCAGGGAACATTCCTTCTTGTTTGCTTGGAAAGTGGCTAGTACATCATGGATGCCACCACACAAACACAGCACCATCCTGATCTGCTTGTCCAAGTGCCAACCAGTCATACTGAAGGTACATGGTAGTGCCATGTTCTATGCGACTAAATGGGGGCTGGTACATTGATCTGAATGGATTGCACACTATTACCCTATCTGGACTCTGCATATACTTACTCATCGTGATTGACTTGCCATTGGTTGACAAAAACACAGAGGTCCTTCGGGATGTAGTAGCCATTCAGAACTGTATCTTTCGTTGTGCTGAAGGACAAGAGTGAAATTCTTAAGTTTAAAAAGCTGCCTCTGTGTTCTCATATTAATCAATTCCTGGGCCTGTTTAAGTCAGAATTGGGCCCAGAGGAGATCATTTTTTTGAGCATTATTGTACTTTCTAAGGGCTGGGTTTTGCATCTCTCACACTGAGCGGACCATCAATGGAGCGACATGCTGAATAAAGGTACCACTCAATGTGTTATGCCCCTATATCTCCACTGCATCCGTAGCACTTACCAGTGAGGAATGGTGAAGGGCAGGAAGGAGGAATGTCTGAACATCTCTAAGATAAAGGCTTCTGTGTAAGGCAGCATGGGCCGGTCTGAGAGTCTGGGTCTCCTCTCTCTGCCAATGGTCTGATCTACAGGTTATAAAGATGAGGAAAAGGACGGTTGGAATCCAGCCTTCTAGAGAGAGACATTTTAACTCTGTGACTGAAAACATACATTTACCTAATTCTTCCTGAATCTTCTTCTGAATGTCTGGATAAGTCACAAGATACATGAGGCTCCAGGACAAAGATGTTGTCACAGAGTCAAACCCTAGACAGACAGAGAGGAAAGACAGATACTAGATGAAGACAAGTCAAAGGGAAAATTCAAGCCCTGGGCTTTAGATTGTCATCAGATTTTCCTTGCTTGCACACCAGGTTTTGTCCAACTCAGAAAGGTGTGATAAAAAAATTCCTAGTTAAGGGTTTTTACACTTGCTCCACTCTGTGCTTAGTGATGCTGATTCGTCACTGTATTATTTCAGTTTTATACTGGTGAAACTTCAATGAAATCAATGGGGTTTCCCCAGTGTAATTTAGTGATGAGTCAGGACCAGTTCTGGTAAATAGGGATACAAAACTGTCTCTTGGGAGCTTCATTTCCCCAGAGTGCTGTCTTCCTACAAACTCTTCCTCAAATAGTAGAAAGCCTCCTGGGGTCGTTGCTGGTAGGCGTCAGGGTGAAAAAACTAATGTGATCTGTTTTCTGCTACTCAGAGCAGCTGGATGGAGTGTTCTTATGGGGGGAACAAAAAAAGGACTAATATTTATCAGAGTTTATTGGGATGCAAAAATAGAAAGTGGTTTCCGATTTGAAAGCCTGAATTGGAATGTTCTTACCGGCTCCGAAGAGGTCATTGACCAGGTTGACAATTTTTCCCTTCAGGAGCTGAATGTTGGCATTGGCTTCCACTTTATTCTCCTGACTTTGCTCAATCAAGGAGTCAGTGATGTCTCGAATGTTGTCCTGAAAGAGGAAAGTCCAGAGGAAGATGGCATGAAATTCCAGATCACTAGGCAGGTAAACTGAGAGGTAATGAAGAGCAATCTACTACTGAAGGGATGCTGTGCTGGAAAGTCTAGTACTCCCATGTCACAGAAGTGCGAGTAAATTCCAGTCGTGACAGGACAAGGAGGTCAGGAGAATATTTTCTTCCCCTACAGTCAGTAGGTAACATTTCACCGAGCCATAAAAATAAGGAGATGAGAATATACAGCTTGGAAGTGCAGGATGTCAGAATGATCCTCTTCTTGGAAAATACAAGACAAACGTGCTAAGCAAATTAACTCTTAATATGTGCCTAGGGAGAGAAACTTATTAATATAGAAACTAGGGTAATTTGGGTCCTAAGATGCTCCCATAATAGATAAGATGAAGATTCATTTGTAAAATTCCTAGAGATAATAAAATGCTATTTTGGCTAGGCAGGTTGTCAAAAAAGAAGCATAACATCCATTCACTGTGCACCTTTCCTGACTTTTATTTAGGTGGATGGTGGAATGAACAGGCTAGTGTGTGGGCGCACCATTGCCCTCTGTTGATTGACATCAGTACTGTTCAACAGTGTGTCATAGGTACTAGGCCCTGTGTTGCTAACAGCTAATGGATGTTCCTCTTTAGCTCAGTTGGTAGGGACCTGTGCATTTGGACAAGGGTATAAATTCTATCCCAACCTTTCTATGAAGTTTTGAATGGCCATCATAGTAACACTGGTGAGTGCTTAGATTTGCTACAGGACAGCCTGCTGCAAGAGGAAAAGTAACTTGCAGAAGCTGAAGAGCACAGCACAGAAGCTCATCTCAGGTGTGAGCAGATTCCCCCTAGGCTCTTACCTTCTCAAAGCTCTCGTAATGCTCTTTGACAATGTCCTGCAGGAGCCTGAGGAACCTCGTGTTGAATTCCATAAATTTCTTCATGGTGCGGTTCGGGAGATACTGGAGCACTGGGATGAAATCCACTGGATTGCCGGTGGCAACCACATCCCCAAATTCCTCCGTCACATTCGCTATGCTGAGCAGCTCCTGGTCATCATGGTCATAACGGTTGCCAAAGCACATGGCAGAGATGACATTGGCCACAGAGACCACCACATACCGAAAGGGGTCGAACCTCTTCTTCTCTTCCATCAGTTGCAGCAACTTTCTTATTAGGTAGTCAGCTTCTTTGGAGACGTGCTCCTCGAGGAGGCAGGTGGACGAAGAGTTGGGGCTGGGCAAGACAGAGAAGGTCTTCAGAGCATTCTGGGCCAACTTCCTGCGAGCTCTCCACACCTCCCCTGAATCAGTGCTGAAGGTCAAGCTCTGGCCATCTGTAATATGGTGAAAGCTGTAGAGATCAGGGCGCCCCATGAAGTCCTCCCCTTGCTTCACCAGGGCTTGTTTGATGGTGTCCAAACCACTCAGCACCAGCACAGGTCTGCTGCCGATCCATATCTGCATCACATCTCCATACTTCTGGCTCATCTGAGTCAAGGTCAGGTGTGGATTGCTCCCCAGCTCCAGCACGTTGCCTATCAGGGGGTAACCCCTTGGTCCTGGGAGCCTCTTCAGCCCCTTGGGGATCTGCTGCCGGAAGGATCTGATGACCATGAACGTCAGACAGAAGACAGCAGAGGCAATAAGGATCTCGGTGACTGAGATAATGCTCTGACTTCCCAGCAGTGACATTGCAGCCTTCCTCTTCAAGGGACTAAGAAGCCTGAGAAAATTAAACAAAAGGAGGGTGTTGGGTGTCTAACTTCCTCAGGCTGCTAAGGAAATGCTAGCCTTATACCTCAAGTGGACCAGACTCCACACAGGGCCATGACACACTCAGGCCTCCTTGCATTAGAACTTTGGGGGATCCTTTCTTCATAAACCCTTCCTGTGGGTTGGCCATTAGCGGGGATCCAGCCCTTTGACCCTAGAGCCTCTTACCTGCTGGGATATTCCTCCTACACTAGTTCTAGTTCCAAGAGCACAGGACAGGAGTCAGGAGATCTGGGTCCAAATCCTGGTTCTGCCACAAACTTCCTGGGGAACCTTGGGCAAGTCACTTCATCCCATTGTGCCTCTGCTTCCCATTGGCAAAATGGGACTAATCATATTTATTAGCTCAGGGGTGTTGTGAAGCTAAATTTATTAACAAAATGTTTGTGATGCTCTTGGGGATCTGCAGGTGGAAAGAGCTCAAGAACTGCAGAGACTTGAAGTGCCAATTAACATTTCACTTTCCTCTTTGTGGAGTTGATTGGTTTACTGCAGCCCTGCCATGGAATGAAGAGAAATTGACAGGGCAGTTTGAAATACAAAAGACCCATCAGCATTATCTGAACCCTGGGAGACATGGGGGAGGAATCTACTGCTCCATCATTATCCTCTCTGGCCACTGATTGTTAGGAATCGGGACATAGACAGTCTGGCCTAAGGTCAGAGTCAGGAGCTGAGCCAATGATTAGAGAGGACATTAGCAGGCAATGATCAGGTGCAGGACATAGGGGCAGGAACCAGAGATGAGGCAAGGAACAGGAGCAAGGCAGGAATTGGGAGCGAGGGCAGGAGCCAAGGACAAGACGGGAGTGGAGCAGGGTTGGATGCAGATTGCAGGAGAGAGGCAAGGAGCAGTGTCCAATGCAGATGCAACAAGGAGTCTACAGAGATGCTCAGACAATCCAACCAGCCATAGATGATTCGTGCCTCGTGATACTGGGGGGGGGCACAATGTAAAGGGGGGGGGTCACATGAGGCCCCGGTGTCGCCTCAGGGAGGAAATTCCAGCCACACCTCCCTGGGCCACAGTGGCCATTCCTGCTGGCTCCTGGGGGCCTGGGGCCACAGGAGTGGGGAACATATGTCTCTGGGTCTGGCTGGGGCCCGGAGACTCACAGCACCAGTGTCTCCCTGGAGCTTACGGACACCTCAGCAGGGGCGGTGCAGGGCACAGGCAATGCTCCTACCTCCAGCTGAGCAAAAACCAGGAAACCTTCTCCCAGCACCTTCCCCAGTGACCCCTGTGCCCAGCCCAGGGACCACCATGCTCTCCTCATCCCACCAGAGTTACCTGCAGAGGGGCAAGAGGTTCTGTCCTTCTTCCACTGCACCTCCCACTGGCAAGTTTAGGGCTCACTCAGCCACTCTCCCAGGCAACTGGACCTGGGTGGGGAGTAGAAGGGATGGGCTGCTGCCAAGTCCCCAGCTGGGTTCTTGCAGGCAGCCACCACACTGGACAGAGCAGTGACCCAGAGCCACCATCTTCAGCCAGTGTGATAATCGACTCCATCCCACCCCTTCCACTCCCTGTCCGGGCCTGGCTGCCAGGAACAGGGGCCGAGTGTGCCAGGGGACAGGCACAGTGGGAAAAGGACGGAGCCCCTCTCCCCCAGCAGGCCGAGCAGAAATCTGAGGAGAGGGGGCAGGGACAACTTGACCGCACACACCCCACCACCCACATGTGTCGCCTATGCAGCCAGCTCACTGCCTGTCTTAAGTAGTGGATGTGAGCCAATCAAGTGATCCAGGGAGTCCCTCTAGGACTTCCTGTGGGGCCCGACTTTGCAGGAGCAGTAAGGGGCTACTTTGGCTGTCTGTTTCCCATGGTGGCGATGCAGCAGTGTCTGTAACCCAGGGCCTAGGCCCTAGACCCTCTACAGCAGAACACTCAGATCCTTCCATTGATTGCCCTTAACAAGTTGGGGCAAGATCCTCAGCTGGGTTAAACCAGTTCAGCTTAATTGATTTAATGGAGTTGGCCCAGGATCTGGCCCTAACATTTACCCACAGTGCTACAGGAGATACAATAGTTATTCCTTCAAGCCAGGGTGCCCCTGTGAGGCAACTGGTGGCTTTGACAGTGCTGCACTTCTGAAATGCATCCGATGAAGTGAGCTGTAGCTCACGAAAGCTCATGCTCAAATAAATTGGTTAGTCTCTAAGGTGCCCCAAGTCCTCCTTTTCTTTTTGCGGATACAGACTAACACGGCTGTTCCTCTGAAACTTCTGAAACTGGAGATCCTGGGCTGGAGTCTCACTAACTGGTCTCTTTATCCTTCTCCCAGCTGGGAGAGGGACACCTGACACCTGGGAGAGGGACACCTGCTGGCTGAGTGAAAACCCAGAGCTCAGCTACGGGCCCTAGGGTTGTATGCTGCCCTCCCAATTACTCCTTTTCTTATTCCGCTTCGGATACCATCACCCTACTGAAACCATTGCTCTGACCCAGCCCTTTTGCAGAGCTAATAGAACCAATATCAAAGGTGGCCACTATACTGTTGAGTTCAAAGGGATCTTAATCCAAGTATTTTCTGTGCCTAAATTGGGTGTCAGAGTAGCAGCCGTGTTAGTCTGTATCTGCAAAAAGAAAACCCAATGCACAGCTACAGACTAGGGACCGAATGGCTAGGCAGCAGTTCTGCGGAAAAGGACCTAGGGGTGACAGTGGACGAGAAGCTGGATATGAGTCAGCAGTGTGCCCTTGTTGCCAAGAAGGCCAATGGCATTTTGGGATGTATAAGTAGGGGCATAGCGAGCAGATCGAGGGACGTGATCGTTCCCCTCTGTTCGACATTGGTGAGGCCTCATCTGGAGTACTGTGTCCAGTTTTGGGCCCCACACTTCAAGAAGGATGTGGATAAATTGGAGAGAGTCCAGCGAAGGGCAACAAAAATGATTAGGGGTCTGGAACACATGAGTTATGAGGAGAGGCTGAGGGAGCTGGGATTGTTTAGCCTGCAGAAGAGAAGAATGAGGGGGGATTTGATAGCTGCTTTCAACTACCTGAAAGGGGGTTCCAAAGAGGATGGCTCTAGACTGTTCTCAATGGTATCAGATGACAGAACGAGGAGTAATGGTCTCAAGCTGCAGTGGGGGAGGTTTAGATTGGATATTAGGAAAAACTTTTTCACTAAGAGGGTGGTGAAACACTGGAATGCGTTACCTAGGGAGGTGGTAGAATCTCCTTCCTTAGAGGTTTTTAAGGTCAGGCTTGACAAAGCCCTGGCTGGGATGATTTAACTGGGAATTGGTCCTGCTTCGAGCAGGGGGTTGGACTAGATGACCTTCTGGGGTCCCTTCCCCTTATATTCTATGATTCTATGATTCTATGAAAAGGAGGACTTGTGGCACCATAGAGACTAACAAATTTATAAATTATAACAAATTTATAAATTTGTTAGTCTCTAAGGTGCCACAAGTCCTCCTTTTCTTTTTTAAATCGAGTGTGTATTTCACTGTCGGAATTAATGCTAACGATTTATTATTTGCATTGCAGGAGCACCCAACAGCTGTCGTCAGGACCAGGGTCCCATTGCTCTAGTACAGAAAGACACAGGCCCTGCCCTAAAGAGTTAACGAGTTTGAAACGAGACGTAAATGTAACCAGATGAGGGAACTGGGGACAAAGCATTAGTGGAGCAATGAGAAGATCACACTGTGGCATAGACCAGATAGTGCTTACCTGAATCATTAACAAGGTGCATTGGTTGCAAAATGGAGGAGGGAAGGAAATTGCAAATCAAATCAAATCAAACAAATAAATCCAAGAAAATGGTCTCCGTTTCTGATCAACATTTTAAAGCCGTTGAAATTTTTCAGCAAGCTGATTTGTTTGATTTCTATAATCTCAGGGCTCCATGAATGTCAGTGACCCCGAGCCATTTAAAATTGGCTAGTTTCTTGAAGGTGGCCCAGGCTGAGAGGCTGAAGGAGGAAAGGATTGTGACTCAGTTCAGGGAGGGTGTTTTGTGCCTGGAAGGAATCGCAGAGATATTTGTGGGACGAGTGGAGAAATGTCTGGGTGACCGATGAGCCAAGCCCATGAAAACTGATGTTTTGTTGCGCAGCGTAGTGCATTGAACTGTATTGACTGATCTAGGATTGATTTCCTGCTGTCTAACTCAGGACTAAAAGTAAAACCTATTCTACCTCCCATATGGACAGATCCTGACAACTCCATTATCAAATGATCTCCTTCCCATCGGTTTTGGATCATCCTCTAGAATTTAATCCAAAATGAGATCTCTGCTAGAGAATTCTATGAGGGGCAGTCCCAAAAACATATAGAAAAGCTCTCTCTGTTAAATTCTGTTGGTTTTTACAGGGATTTTTATTGAACTCTCTTAGATTGCTATAGAATCCTATTGGTTTCTTCCCTGCTAAATTCTATAGGGATTTGCATAAAGGCAGGTCTGCTGAGTTCTGAATAAGTTTTGTCTTGAAAGAGCCCCAGTTATTTAGGCTATTTGATGCATAATTACAGCCTTCACATACGTTCTTTGAGTTGAACGGTTAGCGTTATTTGGACCCTTGTTATCAGAATACTGGCCAAGCTTTTCCAAAATGACTAGTGGTTTTGGGTGGGCCCTGGTTTTGTGTGCCCCGGAGGGCTGGTTTTCAGAGAGTGGGTGCTCAGCACTTTCTGAACATCTGACCCCCTTTTAAGAAGTCTCAAATTGGGCTCCTGTAAAATGGAAGTCCCCAAAATTGCTTTGGAATACCTGGACCAGCGATGCACACATACAACACATCTGAGAGAGACCGGCCCTGGACAGCCACTTCCCACTGTCCCCCACAAGTATTTAAACTAACCCTTGTTTTTTAATATATTACAAAGGTAAGGGCTGTGTGAAGCAGCCTACAGTACCTGTGTGTCCCAGAGGAGGGATGGTGCTTAGGTTGGACTTGCCACCTGTGGCGAGAAGTTCTTTGGTGACGGCGTGAGGAGTCTCTCCCCAAGGGGTCTGGAACTCGCTCTTCTGGACAGTGAACTAGGTTCTCCCCCTCAGGCAGGCTGAAGGATCACTTTCAGACAGCTTTCTATGCACCTCCCCTGAAACCTGATTGGTCAATCATCCTCCTATCGCACTGCAAAAGTATCCTCCAAGCCACCTGTTTTGGAACTCCAGGCTGACTAAGCGTGAGGGGCTAGCTCAGTGGTTTGAACATTAGCCTGTTAAACCCAAGGTTGTGAGTTCAATCCTTGAGGGGGCCGTTTAGGGATACAGGGCAAAAATCTATTGGACTAGATGATCTCCTGTGGTGTCCCTTCCAACCCTGGTATTCTATGATACAAAATAATCAACAGAGTCTCCTCCTTGTGCTGGACCTGATCCAGAACCCATCAAAGAATTCCGCTGGACATCTTTCCATTGACTTTAGTGGGACAGACCCTTAGTCTCCATGGCCAGCCTCCAGCTGACCAATGCATATTTCACTCTCAGCAGCAAAGGCTGGATGGCAGAGACTGTGGTCAAGAGGACCAGAACATGCTCTTGCCCAGCCTGGCAGTTCTTTTCAGTAAAGTACTTCATTAAAAGACCATCTTCTCTGGATGTGGTTGTGAACTGATTCATAAAGAGTTTGTTCTCTCCCAACACAACTCTAGTGTCTGTGGTACTGGAGGGCAGAGTGAGCATGCGGGCGGGGGTAGGCAGCGAGGGGGAGGTGAGGTCAGGATGTCAGAGACAGAGGGCAGGATGGTGCAGTGTGGTTTGTGGTCTGCAATCAGGACAGGAGATGGTTGCGTGTCAGGAGCCCATTCAGAGGCAGCCCTCCCCTGCCCCCAGCTCAGTATCAGGTTAAAGATTGCCCAGGTTCGCGTGAGAAGCCATTTGGCTGAATTTCACCACTGTTTCCCCTGCAGCCAAACAGAGTGAGTTTGGGAACAGAAGGAGTGGAGAGTTCAAGGGGGACTGGGAGGTGGGGTAGGGAGCAGAGCCATTCGTTCCTCTGCAAGCACCTTTGACACATGGCAGGATGTGATTTGCGTGAGAAGGCAGTAGGGCCAGATAAGCAAGAGCTGCACTTTGGGAAAGTCCAGGGCAAGGTGCAACCAGCAGAAAGACCCTGACTCCTCCATGCCTCTCACACACTGAGTGAAAACCCACTGCAGACACAGAAGCAGAAGAAGCCTACCTGACCTGTTCCTTATAGGAGAAAAAAATCCTCCAGAGCACAGGGGACGTGTGTTGACTTTGCAGCCTCCAGCTCCACCGAGGGGCAAGTTTTCAGCCCCAGTCTCTGGGCTGACTTGCCCACCCTGTCTGATATGGCTACACTGCTACAGCCCCCATATAAATGAGTAGCTGTAATGTGGGGACGGAGGGGGGAGATTTCCCTTGCCTGTTAGATATAAGATACTTGAAAACCCTGTCTGCAAAAACTAGCTTCCACTCCTGGGCTTCTAGAAATTGGTTGGGCCATATGCTGTGTTTTGCGACGTGGAATCAGCTGGGGAAAGGCCAGCGGAGGGGAGAACAAATATTGATTTTATTTGATGGAGAACTTAGAGGAAACGCAGATGCGAGAACTGCAGCCTGTGAGTCAGATTTCATGGGAGCGGCCTCTGGCTTTGAACATCTCCATATTTTGGGTGCTCAGTTGAGGCCATCTTGCGATTGATGTTCAGAGGTAGAGTGTAAGGCAGTGGTCCCCGAACTGTAGGGGGAACAGTAAGGGAGGCACAGTGGCACCCGGGACAGCCCGGACAGGGGATGGGGAGTGGGGCCACCCAGCCCCGCTCTGCCCCCAGCTCCGCTCCTGGCCCCGACCACAGTCCTGCTCCCGGCCATGGCTCCTGGCTTCTGGTCCCCAGACTCGGCTCCCAGTTCCTGGCTCCTGGTTCCTGGACGTGGCCCCACTCCCAGTTTCTGGCTCCTGACCGTGGCTCGAGCCCTGGTCCCAACTCCCCACCGTGGCTCTGGTCCCACATCCAGCCCCGGCTCCCTTCTGCAGTTCCGAGGGACCTGGTAAGGGAGGTGCAGGAGCAAAAAAAGCTTGGGGACCACTGGTGTAAGTGGTTTGGGGCAGGGACTGTCTGTATTTGTACAGCACCTAGCACAGGGGGGGTCAAAGTCCAGGACTGGGACCCCTAGGTGCTACCGCAATACAAATCATAACTAAATGCTGATCACCGGCAGCTCAAATTACTCCAATTAAGCTCCTTTGGGGGAAAATCTGACCCAAGATGTCTTACAAAATCAGACTGTTATTTAAGGTTTCTGCTTGGTTATACCTCACTGATTGAGCTTTTCCAAGTGGTACAGATCAGGCCCCACTCAGGTGCGCCCCCCCCATAGCAGACAGGTGTCCCGCAGGCACCCTGCCACAGTCCTTCCCCCCCACACACACCCTCAAGGGTCCTGCCAAACACTCTTCTCGTACTCTCTCAGGCTGAGAATCTCACAGGTGAAAGTCCCCCGTCGCAACTCAGAACACTGCGGGCTCTGCCACCGTGCATCACTTTGGACTCTTCTCCAGCCCCCAATGTTCTTTCAAATGAAGGGCTCCTGTGCGTACCCCTATATCCCCAACAAGAACTCAAAGGCAGCAGTAATGCAAATCACATCCACCCACCATGAGCCTAATTCAAGTCTCACGTCCCTCCTGGGTTCATCTCCCGATGCCTGGGACAGTGGCCACATGACCGCTGTCCTGGGCCTTCACCCCGGCATTCCTAGAGATTGGCAGGAAATGCCCCCACTACTACTGTGCAGGCCCTTAGCTGCCTTTAGCATCTGTTCTCTCCCAGTTCTCTGCTCCTTTACTGGATAGTGGCACCGCCTGGCCCTTTCTCTGGCCTGAGTCTCCAACACCCAGGCCTCCCTGCTCCTGGCCTGACTCTCCTTCTCCCTGGCTCCCAAGCCTCCTTATATATGTCCTGACCACAGGTGCTGCCCTGCCCCTAGTCAGGTCTCGCCAGGGCACCCCTTTGCAGTCAGGAACCCAAGTCGGTCTTTTGACATTTGCGCTTACCCTGGGAGGAAAGGAGTCTGAGTAACATGGAGGCCGAGGCTCCAACAGATGCTCTTCTACAGAGATCACAGGACTATAGTGGCTGGGTCATTACACATATTGAATCTATTTCCCCATGTTAAGTACCCTCACACCTTCTTGTCAACTGTCTAAATGGGCCATCTTGATTATCACTACAAAAGTTTTTTTCTCCTGCTGATAATAGCACATCTTAATAAATTAGCCTCTTACAGTTTGTATGGCAACTTCCACCTTCTTTGTATGTGTATATATATATCTTCTTACTATATGTTCCATTCTATGCATGCGATGAAGTGAGCTGTAGCCCATGAAAGCTGATGCGCTAATAAATTTGTTAGTCTCTAAGGTGCCACAAGTCCTCCTGTTCTTTTCACAGGACTGTATCAGTGAAGGAAACAGAGCCCAAAGGCGAAGAATGATTTGGTGCCCGTAGGGGCTTAAGGGGTTGCTGCTCAAATGTGTGATGTTCATGCCGGGCCTCTGAGCAGCAGCACCTAAGTTAACAGGTAACCAGATCTGCAATGGGAATCAGAGCAGAATTGCCTGAGCAGCCAGTGTGAGGGCAGCTTTCACATGGCCCCTCTCTTGTCCACATCAAGGGCAGAGAGGTGTGCGTGTGATGGGGTTTCCCGATCCCACACAGCGACTGAGGGAGGGAAGAAGCAGTGCTGGGCCCTTCAGCTGCTCCAAAGGGAAGAGCTGCTCCAAAGGGGACTCTGACAATCAAGCAGGGAAGGAGAGTGGAGAGGCTGGTTGAAGGGAGGAAGCTGGTTTGTAGCTTCTGGGGACAAAGCAATCCCCAGGAGAGGGTCTGGACCATGGGCAAGACCCAACCAGGAGGGTAGGGGTCTGCCCCTTTTTCCCCTCCCCCACTCCCTGCTGAGGGAGGATGTTGGGACATAGGAAGAGAGCTGGGGAATGCTCCTTTGACAGACTGAGTTGCTGGAAAGTCTAGCTGTGGGGATAGCAGGCTGTGACCACTCCCCAGACTAAAGAGAGAGCAGGGAGGTAGGAAACAGCCCAGCTGATGGTCAGCTGCAGTGACCAAGGCACTACAGACCTCTCCCGCTTGGGTCCTGGGCTGAGACCCAGTGGAGAGAGAAGGGAGAGGGACCTACCTCCCTTTCCATACAGGAGAACTCTGGAGCACTGGGAACTGATGGGCCAGGGCCTGCCCCCCAGGCCAGCTGACCTCTGAGTGAAACCTGCCACAGGGTGTCAAAGCTTCTCAGAGACCCCAGTTCACTTTCTGCCCAGGCCCCAGCTCAGACTCAGGTTAACGATTGCCCAGGTTTGCATGAGAAGCCATTTGGCGGAGTTTCCCCAGCTGCTCCCTGGCAAAGGGGGCAGTGAAGGGGAGGAGGAGCAGCAGGAGGTGAGCTGGAGAGATAGGGGAGGTGAAAGGGGCAGCACAGGGAGAGGGCAGAAGAGTTCATTCTTCCAACAGCCCTGCCTGAAACATGGTAGGGCTGGCCAGTGGGTGAGAAGGGAGCAGGGACAGATTAGCAGCAGCTTCACCCAGAGGGGAGGCTCAGGACAATGTACAGCCTTGACCATCCCCCACCCTCACTCTTGGTTGGCACTATTAATCTCTCTGTGTCTTCAATGGGCTTCCACAAGGGCTGGATTTCCCTTGCTCAAGCACAGTGAAATTCTGGGGGAAATTCTTGCCCCACTGAAGTCAACGGCAAAACTCTGGAGCCTGGATTTCCCTCTCCATGCACAGAATAGTAGAAGTACATTCCGTCATTTTCATTTCCCTAAGGGAAAAATTTACAGGAGGCAAGTGGGGCTTGGATTTTTCAGCTTCTAATCACAGATTTTAAAAATCCCGTTCGTTCCAAACACCCTCTTGTTTCCATGCAGCTCTGTGTGCCTGGGATCCGCTCCCATCCGTGGGGCCTGATCCTCCAGTCCCTGCCCCAGATATGAGGGGCTCGTGACAAATCCTGTGAAATAAGTAAGAATTGCCTGAGTAAAAACTGCCTCAAGATCTGGCCTAATAATGATCATTAATACCA